CGGGGGGCTCGGAGGGAGGGGCTCGAGCGCGGGAGCCGGCCGCCGCGCCGGGCAGGGGCGTCGGGGACGAAGGTCGAGGGCCCACCCGGCCTCCCGGTGCTGCCGGGGGCTCCCTGCCCCTGCGTCTAGCTGGCGAGAGCTGGCTTTCTCCGCCCCAGGGTCTAATGGCGAGCAGGTGGTCAGACTTCGGGGGGCTTGCTCCGGGAGGAGCCGGGCTGTACTGCCCGGGCGGTGCTGGGCGTGGACGCAGACCTTGAACTCGCTCGGCCGGGCCTCCGAGGGGGCTGGCGCGCTCTGCCCCGCCCGCCCTCCCAACAGGTTAAGTGGGCGCGAGAGCTCCAGCCCAACTCCCCTGGCCTAGAACTGCAGCCGCTGCTAAGTTAGATTGCACTGGGGCTCGGCGTTGCCGGAGCTGAGGGCCCCTCCCCCGGGGTCGCCGCGCACTCGGCCCTTGCGGTGGCGGCGCAGCCTTGACCTGCACTCATCCCAGGTCAGAAGCCTCCCCTAGCTCCACGCGCGCCTGCACGCGCGCACGCGAGTCTGGCCTTCGAGTTGGGAGGCAGGTTCTGCTCTGCGTTCACCCCAGTGGACACTGACAGCCACCAAGCCTAGTGCAAGAAGCAGACCCCTGTATGTACGTGCGCTTGTCTCTGCATGGATGTAATTGCATGTTCGAGAGCTCGGGACATGACGTGTTCCTGATCCCTCTGTGAGCACTGCCGTGCCTGACCCGCTGTATCTGTGGTTTGCGCGCATGTCCTTCACATACAGGCCCTCCTGTTGCAAGGCTGTGGGGTCTTTAATAGAAACCCCCACATCTACCTTACAATCCTGCTTGTCACCTCTGGGCGGTGACCCACTGAGTGGAAGGGCACCTGTGAGTATGTATGCTCCATATTGCCATGTTCTCTGTGAACATACCTGCTTATGAGCCTCGCAGCTGTGTGACTGACTGCTGTGGATACACTTGTTCACAGCCCTCCTCATGAACATGTGTGCACACCCATGTGCACGTACTTCCCCTACCTCTTGGCTCGTGAGACTCAGATAAACCCGTAGAAGTGTTTATGCACACTGAGTGGCGCATCTTATCTGGGTGTGTTCCTCCTGCTCAGGCCCAGGGACTGGTCCCTCCTAGCCATAAGGCTCCCCCCTTCTGCTAAGCAAATAGGAGGGCCTGAGAGGTAAACAGGTGTGCCCCACTGTGAGGGGTGGGACAAGGGCAGCTTGCCCAGAGCCTCCTACTATCCCAGCCCCCAAGCCAGGATTCTGGTGTCCTTTCCGTGGTGCCCAGGGCCCTCCTCTGTCCCTCTCGTGTTCCACTCTGCCCTCCTATGACAGTGCTGACCTTTACCTCTTGAATAAACCCTCCAGATTCCTGTTTTCCCTCTGGCTGGCTCCTGATCCCTCCCATCCTTTCAAGGCCAGGTAGTTAATATTTGACCGGGAAGGGGCAGGAGAGGACAGTGGCACCCTCTGACCTGCCTACACATGTCTGATAAGACAGAGTGGGTCTGGCCTCCTCCCCTCAGGGCCCAGCTCGGGAAGCCTTCAGAAGGCCCTCAGAGTTTAGGAACCTACCACAGAGGGTAGGGGAGTGTGTCACCCAGCCCGCCTCATCCCCAGTGGGTGGCCTGAGAAAGGTTCAGGTTGGGGAGTGGTCTCAAGGTGTACCAGGCGAGGTAGTCAGGAGCTCAGGGGCCCCCTTGCTCACCTCCTGCACATTGCTTACGTCTCAAGCCCCTGGCCTTGTGCATGCACCACCCCTCCCGCCCAGACTTCACTGTGCAGCAGGGGGCGCCTGGAGGCCCCGCCCAGATCCCACCCGTGCTGTGGCTGCTTGCTGGCAGGTAGGGGCACGTGTGGATGCCGAGCTGAAGACCGCAGCCCTGGCTGGCACAGGCAGGACAGAAGTGTTCACCCCCTCGGAGAAGAATGCCTCTGAGAAGTGTCTAATTAAAGAGAAATTCCAGAGGGAGCTCTCAGGCCAAGGAGAAGAAAAAACAAAGGGAAAACAGGACAGAATTAACAAAGGCCCATTAAATGCCTCTGCCCAGGCCTTCCTGCAGAGGGCAGGCAGAAGGGCAGCTGGTGTTGGAGGCGCAGGCATTGGCTCTGAGAACCCAAACTCCTTCTGACCTGCCCAGAAGAGGGCTGTTACCGTGGTTCTGACTGGGGCCACGAAGAGCAAGTTCCACCCCAGCCTCCCCATCAGAGCAGAGATGTGCAGACTGAATCGGTCCTGGTGTGGGAGTTCTGTGGACACCCCCTAACATCTGGGTAATGCCATCCACCTTCCACCCCCATGCAGATCAAAGTGCTTTCTCTTTATTTCTTCCTTCAAAACACAGATCTCAGAGCAGCCAGGACTGGCCCTGCTGTCCAGGGCAGGGTGACCCCATCCGGAACCTACATCCTTCTATGACTCCTCAGCTCCGCTCACCGTGCAGTTGGCATTTGATGCAGAGAAGCATGGGTCAACGGATCCCTCTCTCTGGCCCTGAGCCGTGATCCCATGGCCATACAACTCTGTGGCTCCATGTCCCCCCCATTCCAGGATCCTCCCTGGCCCCATAACTGCTTGACCCCCACAGCCTCATGACCCCTGACCTTCCATGTGACCTTCCTGGACTCTGACCCCTGTGACTGTTTTTCTCATCCCCTCCTGTGCCTCTGGTTCTGGCTCCCATTGGGGGGTCTTGCTGGTCTGGACCTCCCCAGGAAGATGTTGGGGAGGCTCTGGCCCCTCCTCCTAGGCACCCTTGCAGCCGCGGCAGTCCCTGGGCCCTCCCTGCGGAGACCGTCCCAAGAGCTGGATGCCACCCCCCGGATGACCATTCCCTATGAAGGTTAGACCCTCAACCCTCAAAGGCTGTGCAGCCAGGGCTGGGGGCAGGAGGCGCTCCTAAAACTGGACTCACTGCCTCCGCTCTCCCCAGAGCTCTCTGGGACCCGGTATTTTCAGGCCCAAGCCCAGAACTACTCCACACTACTCCTGGAGGAGGCCTCAGCAAGACTGCTGGTGGGAGCTCGAGGTGCCCTGTTCTCGCTCAGCGCCCACGACATAGGAGACGGGGCGCACAAAGAGGTCAGCCCCGGACCAGGGCTGCAGCCTCGTCAGCTCTCTGGGACCTCGGCTTCCCAGAAACCTCGCAGCCTTCCTCCGCCCCAGGACAGCACTGTCCTTCCCTGCCTCCAGTGCTCCCTGTGGACGCACCTTCGCCCCCACTGCCCGGCTCCCCGGAGTCCTGTTGCCCAGTCCTGTAAGGATATTGGGGTCAGTGTGTTCCCTTTATCCCTAGATCCACTGGGAGGCCTCCCCAGAGATGCAAAGCAAATGTCATCAAAAAGGGAAGAACAACCTGGTATGTGGTCTGCCTGTCCCCAGTTCCTTATTTTTTTCCCTTTTCGACTGGGGATGCCAGGTTGGGAAAGGCCGCGGTGGGGTGGTAGCGACCTGCCAGTCAGTTGTACAACTGCAGCAAATGTAGCAAGTGCTGCCACAGGGGTTCCAGGGCACAGCCTGCTAACCCAGCCACAGTGGCTTGTCAGCCTGCCTGTCCTGGCTCCTAACCCGCAGGGGCTCCTAAGCGGTAGTCGTGGTAACAGTTGGAGTGCTGACTTTCCTGTGCCCTTCACCTAGTTCTCGGATACCTGGTGAAGTCATAGTGTTTCCCACTTTACAGATGAGGAAAACAAGGCTGTGGTAGAGGGCTAGCGCAAGTGCCCAGCGTCCATGGCGAGGAATTAGTGAGGTGTCAGTCTTCTGGGGTCCTGTGGCGGGTGTGGGCAGACCCATCTAAAGCTGTCCCAGGCCTGGAGATGTGACTCGGGGGTCTCGGGTGCTGTTGGGGTGCTGCAGTCCCTCCAGAGGTTCTGTCGGAGGCTGCCGAATGTGGGTTAGTGAGGGAGGTGGAACCAGCCCCCGGAGGGTTTGGGTCCCGCTCTGTGACTCCGACTGCAGCGGGCACGGGAGTCACAGCAGAAACGCAGGTGCTGCGTGTAACTGGGAGGGCTGGGCCCGCAGCGCTCACAGACTTTCAGGTGGAGCGGGCGATAGTTCCCAGGCCACGCATTGCCAGCCAGGCTTTGAAGAACCCTTCTCCCCTCTCGGGCTGTGAGGGCCATCTGGCTGCGACATCTGTCGCCCCAGTGAGCGTCAGGGTTGGTTCGGCAGCTCTGGCTGGCCAGGTGGGGCGCCCTTCCTCGCTCGGGGCTCTGTGTCACCCCTCCCTTCCGAAGCTGTGTGCTCTGTGGAAGAGGACCAGGGCCTTTCCTCCGTCAGGGGCGCAGGAGCAGCAGCAGTCCCTGCTAGAACCGCCAAACAAGCTCCAAGAACAGCTCCGAAAGTGTGTTGTGAGGAACAGTAATGTTCAAGAGAGGGGTTTAATGGTCAAGTTCTTTTGGAAAGCACTTCATGTGCAGTTCCACGGTGCACAGCAAAATCCTTCATACCCCCAGCAAAGACAGTGTATCTGCAGCTTCAAACTTACTGGACCACAGCACTCCTCCTAACCACCACCCTGTTCTTGTTTTGGTTTGTTTTTTTGAGACAAGGTTTTGATATGTAGTCCAGGCTGGCCTTGAACTCCTGGCAATCCTCCTGCTTTAGCCTCCTTTGTGCTGGGATTATAGGCGTGCAGCAGCACATCCCTAGCTCCATCTCCCGATTTTTAAATGTGAACATTTTAAACCAAGTGTGGTAGCGCACACCTTAATCTCAGGATTTGGGAGGCTGAGGCAGGAGAATCACTGTGAGTTCAAGGCCAACCCAAACTAGCTAGTGAGACTCTATTTCAAAAAACCAAAATGAATAATTAAATGCAAGCATCTTAGGGAATAATCACTCGGAATGTTTGCCCGGCCCCAGGGACCAGGCCTGAGCACACAGAGCTGGGGGCTGCGTAGAGAGGAATGGAGCAGACAGGAGGAGAGGTCTCCAGTGAAGCAAGGGAGGGAGGAGTGCGGCTCTGGGGGGCAGAGCAGGCCAGCGTGGCTCCTGAGCAAGGCAGGGAAAGGCCCGAGGCCGGTCATGCAGGCCCAGGCGTGTGGCTTCACGCACTGGTGAGGCCTGGGGTGACGTGGCCTCGTTTACTTTGTGCAGCGTGCTTTTGAAAGTGGGAACTGAGTGAGTGGAGTGGGTGGGCGGGCACCTCTGGAAGGAGCTGCGGGTAGTGGTGGCTACAGGCCCCGGGAGACAGACACTGGAGCTGTTTGCAACATATCCCTTTATGTTTTCTGAACTTTATGCAACAGGAAGTATTGCTCATTCACTGAGTAGTTTTGGGAGGGTGGTCAGATGGCCCCGGCACTTATGATGGCATAATTTGGACTAGGGGGTGGTGCAGCTGGAGGAGACCAAGTTCTGCAGCTGTTTGGGACACAAAACAAATCGGGCAGCAAGACAGTGTGGGGGTTGGGGGTGGGAAGGAGCTGACTCCTGGCCCCTGGGAATGAGGAGAGGGCAAGGTGGGAGCGACTGGAGGAGCAGGTTTGGGTGGGAAGATGTAGGTCAGGGAGGAGGCAGTGAGCTGCCTTCCCAAGGAGCTGGAGTGGACCTGTGTGTCCTGCGATGGAGGCGGAGCAGGGTAGGCCTGCCTAGGCCTCCTGGGGTCTCTCCAGGGAGGGTGTGGGAGCTCTAGAACTGGAGACAGTGCGGAGAAGAGGCTTAGGAGAGAAGCGCCCCAGGCTGGTGGGAGTCCTGGAAGAAGCTGAGCAGGGGCAGCAGGGGCTGCAGGAGAAGCTGGCAGGTGGTGTCAGAGCTGCGCCACTGGAAGGCCAAGAACTGTGAGTTCCAGGGGACGACATTGTTCTGGGAAGTGAAAAGTCCATGAGCGTCTTGGAAAGAACTGTTTTGTCCTCAAAGTGGAGGCAAGAGCCAGGCTACAAAGTTAGACTAAATCAGGCGTGGTGGCTCACTCCTGTAATCTTAGCACTCTGAGAGGCTAAGGCAGGAGCATGCCAAGCTCAGGCCCAGCCTGGGCAACTTAGCAAGACCCTGTCTCAAATGGTTAAAAATAGGGTAAAAAGGATTGGGAATGTAACTCAGTGTGAAGGCCCTGGGTTCAACTCCTACTTCAAAAGAAAGAAAAGGAAGGAAGGAAGGAAGAAGGGGAAAAAGAAAGTAGGCCAGTGGAGGAGGCCCCCGCCCGGCGGGCTCATGCCTCTCCTGCACCTTGCCCCGTAGACAGAGTGCTTCAACCACGTGCGCTTCCTGCAGCGGCTCAACGCCACCCACCTCTACGCATGTGGGACTCATGCCTTCCAGCCCCTGTGTGCCGCCATTGTGAGTGTGCCACCCCCAGCCCTGACTGCTGACCCCGAACGGTTTGAGCTTGAGTCGGGCTGCAGCCCTGCCTGTCCTCAGGACCACTGACGGCTGCCCATGTCCTCCAGGATGCCGAGGCCTTCGCCTTGCCGAGCAGCTTCGAGGAGGGGAAGGAGAAGTGCCCTTATGACCCAGCCCGTGGCTTCACTGGCCTCATCATTGGTGAGCATGCGCAGTGCTCCCCACCCGGTGGGCTGCGCATCTTGTTGTAGGACTTGCCCCCCGTGTGTCATGCACACTGTGGGATATGACATGCCTGTCGTGCCCGGCCTGTCCCTTCCCTAGATGGAGGCCTCTACACGGCCACACGGTATGAATTTCGGAGCATTCCTGACATCCGCCGGAGCCGCCACCCACACTCTCTGAGAACTGAGGAGGCCCCCATGCACTGGCTCAATGGTTAGAAGGGTGGGGTGAGGACTGGGAGGGCTGTGCTCCTTCGCTCTTACTCCCTCGGGCAGCCAAGCGTCCCATCCCTAAGTCCCCAGGTGAGTCCGGCCACTCCGTTCCTGTGTGCTGTCAAGGGAGAGAAAGGGCCGGGTCCCCCATGGGTCTAAGAAGCCCCCGAACGCCTTAAACCTGCAGACGCTGAGTTTGTGTTCTCTGTGCTGGTGCGGGAGAGTGAGGCCAGTGCGGTGGGCGACGACGACAAGGTTTATTACTTCTTCACGGAGCGCGCCGCTGCCGAGGAAGGCTCCAGCAGCTTCAGCCCGAGCCGCAGCAGTCACCGAGTGGCCCGTGTGGCCCGCGTGTGCAAGGTGGACAGGGCTGAGGCTGGGACACAGGTGGGGGCTCGGATTCTGACCCTGGCTTCTGACCCTTGACCTATGCCCTTACCCCCACAGGGAGATCTGGGAGGGAAGAAGATCCTGCAGAAGAAGTGGACATCCTTCCTGAAGGCCCGCCTCATCTGCCACATCCCCCAGTACGAGAAGCTGCGTGGGGTCTGCAGTCTGGACGCTGAGCACTCAGCCCGCACCCACTTCTACGCAGCCTTCACGCTGACCACACAGTGGTGAGCACAGCAGCTGGGAGCTCGGGACAGCACGGGCACTGCAGCTACGGCCAGGGGAGGATCCCACACGATCCATTGTGGGGAGGACTGGGTGCAAAGAGGATGTCAGGCACAGCAAGCTAGCCTGCGACCAAAGGCCACTGACTCACAGAAGCGGCCCTGGGGATCTGCAGTGGTGGCTGGCTGAGCATGGGTCAGGGCAGGCCCACTGGACAACTCAGCCCCTTCCCGTGTCCCCTTCTTAGGAAGACCCTGGAGGCATCGGCCATCTGCCGCTATGACCTGGCTGAGGTGCAGGCTGTCTTCTCGGGACCCTACATGGAGTACCAGGATGGCACCCGGCGGTGGGGCCGCTATGAGGGCGGGGTCCCTGAGCCTCGTCCTGGCTCGGTGAGTGTCCCGGCCCGGGGCCAGTGCCGGGCAGACAGAGCCGAGGGGGAGGGCGGGCGAGCGGGGCGGGCCATGTGTAGATGGAGGCTCACCCCCAACCTCCACCAGTGCATCACAGATTCGCTGCGCAGTCGGGGCTACAACTCATCCCAAGACTTGCCGTCCCTGGTGCTGGACTTCGTGAAGTTGCACCCGCTGATGGCCCGGCCCGTGGTGCCCACACGTGGACGGCCCCTGCTGCTCAAGCGCAGCGTGCGCTACACACACCTCACAGGGACACCAGTTCCCACCCCTGCCGGGCCCACCTATGACCTGCTCTTCCTGGGCACAGGTGCTTCTGACCGAAATCCCTGATACCTCTGAGTTGGTCACGGGTGCTCCTGAACCCCATAACTCCTGGCGTGACTGTCCAGAGTTCCCTGTGTCCATGGGTTAAATCCTTGTCCCTGGCCTCATGATTCCCGCGCTTTCCTATTAGGCCTCTCATGGGGTGCTGAGAGCAGATCTCGTTGTCGGGGTCTGACCTCTGTTCTTTCCATGCCAGCTGATGGCTGGATCCACAAGGCCGTAGTCCTGGGCTCGGGGATGCACATTATTGAAGAGACACAAGTATTCAGGGAGCCCCAGTCAGTGGAGAATCTAGTCATCTCCCTGAGGCAGGTAGGCCTGCTTTCTGACCCTCAGGATGTGCTTGCTGAAACGGGAGGGGATGGGAGGCTGGCCAGAGGCTCTGCACCTGCAAATGGAGTGAGGCCTATGGCCAATCAGTTGTCCTCTTGGCTCCCAGCACAGCCTGTATGTGGGCGCCCCAAGTGGCGTCATTCAGCTGCCACTGTCCACCTGCTTCCGCTACCGGTCCTGCTATGACTGCATCCTGGCCCGAGACCCCTACTGTGGCTGGGACCCCAGCAACCATTCCTGTGTGGCAGCCACCACCGCAGCAAACAGGTCCCGGGCTAGCAAGAGGGAGCAGGGAGGGTCACCTGTGGGCCGAGCAGAGGGAGGCTTACTGTAGGGACCAGGGGACTGGCTGCTGCAACAGCCCTACCGACCCCTTCACTGGGAAACTGAGCCATTTCCCCTTGTTCACGAATCCTACTCTCCCGTCCGCAGAACATCGCTGATACAGGACATAGAGAGAGGCAACCGAGGTTGCGAAGGCAGCCGCGATCCAGGTAGGTGACAGTCGTGGACATCCGTGGACCTGTCCTCTTGCCGCTTGCTGTGATCCGCAGGGGCACGTTTGTGTGTCGGGCCGCCTCTGTGTGCTCTGGGTGAGGCTGGTCCAAGACGGACTGTGCGCAGAAGAGCTCCGTAGATGTTTCCTGCCAGACGAGTTATAAATGAACAGACAGGTTCCAGACGGCAGTGTTGTGCTGGGGGGGAAGCTCAGCAGTGGGTCACTCGCTAGCACACGCAGGGGCCTGGGTTTGATTTCCAGCACCACCACCCCCAGAAACATCAAGCGTCTTGTCACTTCTAGAACTTAGAGCCAAGTATGTGTGTGCGGGGGTGGACACCAAAACGGCCACACAAGTAATTAATTTTAATTATTGATAATTACAACCATGACAAGTTCAGAGGGAGAACTGTTGTTTCCTGAGGAAGATCAAGTGACTGCACCGATATTTAAAGGAAGAATGAAAGTTAGTAATCACAGCCAACATGTACTGAGTGCTTCGGTGTGCCAGGCCCCGAGCTAAACACTTGGGTGCATGTGCGAGCATTTATTCTCACAGCACCCAGGGAGAGGTGTTCACTGTATTATCCCCTGGGGGGGGTAAGCATGTAGCTCAAGCTGCTCAGCTACTATGCAGCAGGGTCAGTGTTCAATCTGGACCCCAAGTAGTCCAACTCATTTGTGTTTTCAGCCACCGTGCTGTGCTGTCTCTGGTTAACCAGGCGGGCAGCAGGCATGTGTGGGGTGATGGCACCCGAGCAGAGGGAGCTGCGGGGCTGGATAACAGGTGAGGAAGACGGAGGCAAGGCAGACTGCCAGTCCTGGCCCCGGCAGTTCACAGGACCTGGTGCAGCTTGGGATCAGGGCATGAGGCCTGGGCCCATGTGAGGTGCCCAGAAGACTTCTCGTGGACAACCTCATGGCATTTGAGACTGGCACTTAGGTGGAGGTCTGTGCGGGAGGCAGACAGGCATCCCTGGCAGACGGCAGGACCTGAAACCACAGGAGAGGATGGGAGTGTGGAGCGAGGAAAGCGGGTGTCCTGAGAGCGAGCGCGACCCTCACTGGCTCACGAGGGAGCACGCATGTCCACACCCAGGCAACTGTTCCTGATGGCACAGCTCGTGCTGGGTGCTGGGCGCCTAGCAGTGGATGGTATGGCTTGCGGCTCCAGTGCCCTCGCTCAGGTGGGCAGGTTTTGACCTCTCCAACTTCTCCCCCAGGGCCACCACCTCCACCGAAGACCCGCTCTGTGCTCCGGGGTGACGATGTCCTCCTGCCCTGTGACCAGCCGTCCAATCTGGCCCGCGCTTTGTGGCTGCTCAATGGGAGCAGGAGCCTGAGCGACGGGCAGGATGGCTACCGTGTGGGTGTCGATGGGCTGCTGGTGACAGACACGCAGCCCGAGCACAGTGGCAGCTATGGCTGCTTTGCGGAGGAGAACGGCCTACGATCCCTGCTGGCCTCCTACAGTCTCATCGTCCGGCCAGCCACTCCTGCCCCAGCTCCGCAAGCCCCTGCCACAAAAGAGGCCCGCCTGGCCCCAGACGTGAGGCTGCTGTATGTGCTTGCCATCGCGGCCCTCGGTGGCCTCTGCCTCATCTTGGCCTTCTCCCTCCTCTATGTGGCTTGTCTGCGTGGAGGTGGACGAGGCCGCCGCCGGAAATACTCGCTGGGCCGCGCTGGCCGGGCGGGGGGCTCTGCCGTGCAGCTGCAGACAGTCTCAGGCCAGTGTCCTGGAGAGGAAGACGAAGGTGACGATGGGGAGGGGGCTGGAGGCCTGGAGGGGAGCTGCCTCCAGATCATTCCTGGGGAAGGCGCCCCGGCCCCGCCGCCCCCGCCGCCCCCACCCCCACCTGCTGAGCTGACCAATGGGCTGGTGGCACTGCCCAGCCGGCTTAGAAGGATGAATGGCAACAGCTATGTGCTCCTGAGGCAGAGCAACAATGGAGTGCCAGCAGGGCCCTGCTCCTTTGCTGAGGAGCTCAGCCGCATCCTGGAGAAGAGGAAGCACACGCAGCTCGTAGAGCAGCTAGATGAGAGCTCTGTCTGAGCCTGGCCTCCCCAGCAAATGCTCTTCCTGCCTGCCCCGGGCTGGGCCGCTGCCTCCCCACACAGCCACCCCTCCACACCCGCACTCCACGCCACCTCCCAACTGTGCCGTCTCAGTAGGGCTACCAGTTAGGCCCAGCCAAAGCCCCCTCCTGTCTCCAAGACCCACACGGGAGCAGCCCAGGCCCACCGGTGCTCCTCAAAGGTAGGTGCTCCTTTGGGACCAGGTACTCTGCAGACCCAGACCCGTTTCCTGCGCCCTTAACCTAATGCTTTGGAGGCCTCCATTCTCCTGTCCTATTGTCTGCCCAACCTTTCCTCTTCCTCCCAGGTAGGGCTCTGCAGGTCGAGATGGCCTCAGTGTCACCACCCTCTGCATGTCCCTGTGTGCTGGATGCTCCTGAAGCCACACAAAAGCTCTGCCAACCACTTGAGCCTTGCCTACATTCACATGTACACATGGCAGAACGCATCAGTGGGCTGTAGGCCCCCCCGTGTTCTCCCTAGGCACTCTTGCATTTCATCCTGGATTTGGGGTGCCCTCCTGATTGTCACATCCCTGCTAGCACTTCCCTGACCCAGTCCTATGTGGTGACCCCACTGGCAAGAGCTTGAGAACAGCCAGCTGGGAGGTAAGGTAGAGTCATGCCCTCCTCTTCCTTCTTGTGCAGCCTTTGCGAGTCGGCCTACCCATTCCCCTCGGTCACACAGAAGAGTGACAGACCGACCTCCGGGCATGTCCCTTCCCATGCATCTGTGGTTCATGTGCTAACATTTCCACCCTTGTGCACCTTCTGAGCCTCCCCTTGCTGCCAGACTTGTGTCTGTTGGGTTAGGTCCATGGACATTTCAAAGGGAGACTCCCCCTCCCGTTTTGCTGTCCTTGGAGACCCTTCCCTGGATGGGTGACCAACACTGCACTCAATGAGCCAGCCTTTCTGGGGACCAAGCATTTGCTTCCCCTAGACCAGAGCAGGGGAAAGAACCGTCTCACCTGGCACACAAAGCCCGTTCTTGGAACTATGCAAAGGGCAGAGGCTGGGAGTTTGGATGCTTGGCTCCCATTTCTGTCCTACCTCACCGGGGCACTTTCAAAGTCCACGGGCCTCTGAAATCTCCAGGCCCATATGGGACAATCAGTCCAGACTGAGCTCCCCCGTTGCCTTTGGGTGAGGATGACTGTTATTTTTGTAGCTGAGAACGTGGAATCCCACGAGTTTTTACTGCCCTTCACCCAACCTCTCCCACCTCCACCCCACAATGAATGTATTTATTGTGAGAACGGCTGCTCTTCTTTGGAATGCCCTCACTCAGCCCCCGGTGGGTGGGACAGGCATGTGACAGCGTGGAGCCTGGGCTCAGCTCCTCCCCTGACTGATGTTGGTTAATAAACACCCTCTTTCCCCAGAGCTGTGTAGTCGGCTTAGTCTAAATGGCCTCCCTTGGTCACTAGGAGCGGCAGGGACTTCTGCACCCAGAGTTGGCTTTGACCTCCACAAAACCACTTACAGAGCAAACTGGTGTCCTGGTATCCAGGCTGTGCTGGCAGACACACAGCCTCTCCTATTAAGGATCCAGTTATTCATTGATCATGATGATAAGGGTGTAACAAATACGAAAATTTCAGTTCAAGAATTCACATAAGGGCCAAGTGTGGTGGTACACTCCTGTGATCCCAGCGCTCTGGAGGTTGAGGCAGGTGGATTGCCAGGAGTTCAAGGCCAGCCTGAGCTACATAGTGAGACTGTCTCAAAACATGCACACATACACAGCAAACACAACACAGAATTCACACAAGGGTTTCTAGATATTTCACTTCTGGTTCTCTTTCCATCTCTGCTTTGAGATGGTCTTCTCCCTGTTACCCAGCTTCCTGAGAAACTGGGACTACAGGAGTGTATGTGCCATCATGCCTGGCTCCCTACCTTTTAAAAATAGGACCTAGATGATAATCGGCCATCCTCTTCCTATGCAGCTTACCAACACCTCCCACCCTCGGGTGTGATGGAAAGCATAGATTCATTTCTACACAAAGCGGGTCTTAGGAGGGAGGATGCAGCTGGCACTGGGGAAAGGTTGTTTGTTACCAGGCACCTGGTCTGAGAATCACTCCCTTGGAGTCAGGCCTAGATTAATCACATTGCCTTTGACGCTACTTTGAAGGCTTATACGCAATTTCTCATTTTAGGATCATGAAAAATGGGGCTCATGCTTAAAATACGCACACATTTGGAAGACCTCGTGTAAACTTGCATAAGTTTATTTTTGGGTTTTTTTTTTTTCGGTCTTTTTTTTCCGGTACCAGGAATTGAACTCACGACCTTGTGCTTGCCAGGCAGGCGCTGTGCCACTGAGCTAAATCCCCAGCCCCAACTTGCATAAGTTTAATGACACCCGTTGTTTAATCTGTACACAAACATTCCCACATGTGTCTCGCCCAATGCCAGGTCACAGCAGACCACTCTCCAGCTCAATGGCTGTGGCAATTAGGGATTCTTTAGGAGCCAGCCTCCAGACAACCTCCACCCCACTGTGTTCTGAAATCAGCATTATCAATTTGGATTTTTTTTTTTTTTTTTGAGACAGAGTCTATGCAGTACAGGGTGGCCTCCAACTCACCACAATCCTCCTGCCTCAGCTTTGCAAATGCCACAGTTATGGGCTTGTGGCACCACACGTGGCTTTTTCAATTTAGATTTTAGAAAACAAGGACCTTGTACAACATTTGAAGACTCTCTCATCTCAGGTTTCAGGGATGCCCACTAACTTGAACTTGGGAACAAAAAGTCGTGGTTCTTAGCACTCGACATTGGAATCAAACTAACCCTTTATCCCAAGCAAGACCTTTGGTGTCAAGCCACACGGGGCGGCGGGGGGCACTCTATATCTGCTTGAGCTCGGAATGCCAGAGGAAGGCGCACCTCTGCGGGGCAGCAGTCCGCCTGGGCTGGCGTAGGCGCGCCATTCTTCACTGCGCGCGCCCCCGGGCTGGGGCAGGGTCCCGGAGCTCGCGGGGGCGCAGCCCGCGGCACGCCGTGGGCTTGTTGGTGAAGGGGTGCCACTGGCCCTGGATGCTGGGGTTATCCGTGTGGAAGGGCTTGCGGATGCGGATCACGTCCAGGCCCGACTGGTCGGCCAGCTTCTGCACCAGCGCGGCGATCTCCTCCGCCGACTTGCAGTGGATGCCTTCCTCGCGCACGGCCCCGTTAACTGGGGAAGGAGGCGGGAGAGAGCGGAGCCGTCGAGCCGTGTGGGACGCGGGGTCCAGCGCGCCTCGCCCGCCCCAGCCCGGCCCCACTCACGGTATTCGGCCACCACTCTGGGCACGCAGCACGGCCGCGGGTTCACGTACACTACGACCCCCGGGTTGCGACGGGCGAAGTCGATCACCTCCCGTTCCACGAACTCCCTGAGGGGCCCGGGAAGCGCGAGCTCAGTGCCCGGCTCGGGCGGCCTCGCCCGGCGCGAGCCCGACAGCCCGCCCCGGCGCCGCCCCGGCTCACCTCGCGCCGCGGGACGAGGGCGCGTCGCGGCTGAGGCTGAAGCTGAGGCGCTGCAGCTGCTGCACGTACCGACCCAGCCCGTTGTGCAGGACGCTGGTCAGGAAGCGGCTCGCGGTTCCGCGCGCGGTCATCGCGGCGTCCCTCGGAGCGCGGGGCCGGCGGCGGGGCGGGGGCGGGACTGAGCCCTGGTTTCCGGTTCCGGCGGTCTCCGCGCCCGGAGAGTTTTGCTTCCGAGGTTACAGAGCGCGAGGCTGGCGGGCAGCCCACGTTGCGGCCGGACGGCTGGGGCGGGCGCAGCTCCGCGCTCCTAGCGGAGCGGAGCGGAGGCTCGTGGGGCGGCGGCTGCCCGGCGCGAGGCGGGAGGGCTCCGCGGCCGGCGGGGAGAGGCCCGGGAGCGGTGCGATGACCCGAGGGATCGGGGCGGTGCGGGGCACAGGCGGAGGAGCCGTGAAGGCCCCGCCCACGGGCATCCTAGCGGAGCGAGGGAAATGTGAAAGGGTCGTGTGGACTGGCGGAGCCGCGAGGGAGCAGTGCAGGGGGCCGAGGAGGATTCCAGGGAGCTTGGTAGAAGTTTTGGGTTTGTTTTGAGGCGGGGTGGTTGAGGTTGGCCTCGAGTGCACACGGCCCTCCTGCCTCGGGCTCCCTCGTGGTGGGGTTGTGGGCCGCCAGCTCCGGCGCTGTGTGTTGTGCTGTGTACAGCATCTTTATGGAGTCTGGCTTTGTAAAGGCACCTAAATCAAACAAGAGCTGACTTCCTGCTCCCCTGGGAATGTGGGTCCTTCTCCGAGGGGGGTACCCCCTCCGGGCCCTGCTGCCCCCGCGTGGGGAGTGGATGGGCCGCAGGAGCCTGCCGCGAAGCTTTGTCCCAGGCCCTCCTCGAAGGCGGTACAGGAAGGAGGTTCTCCCAGCCTTGGAAGTGCCGGTGTTGCCTGTAACCACAACCGAAATTCGCCAGTATTTGCGGACACATGGGATCCCCTTCCAGGACGGCCACAGCTGCCTTCGCGCCCCGAGCCCCTTTGTGGAGCCCTCACAGGGCAAAGATCCGAGCGGAGCTGCTGCTTCCTTCAGCCTCTTCATTGACAAGACCACAGGCCGCTTTCTTTGCATGACCAGCCAGGCAGAGGGGAGCTGGGAAGACTTTCAGGCCAGTGTGGAGGGGCGAAAGGATGGAGTGAAAGAGGGGGTCCTGCTTGGTGAGGCTCCAGAAGCTGAGAACAGTGAGGAGGTCCGGAGGATTTGGGACAGAGCAGTACCCCTCTGGGAGCTGCCTGATGCAGAGGAGGCCCAGCTGGCTCGAGTGATGTTTAGCCTTACGAAAGTGACAGATGACACCCTGAAGCGTTTCCGTGTGCAGTATCTGCGACCTGCTCGCAGCCTGGTCTTCCCTTGGTTCTCCTCTCAGGGATTAGGATTACGAGGCCTGAAGCTATTAGGAGCTGAAGGCCAGGGGGATGGAGTGCGCTACATGGAGACCACCATTCCCCGCCCTGGTGCCTACCACAACCTATTTGGATTACCACTGATCAGCCGGCGAGATGTTGAGGTGGTCTTGACCAGTCGTGAGTTGGACAGCCTGGCCTTGAGCCAGGCCACGGGGCTTCCCACTCTTGCCCTGCCCAGGGGAACCCTCTCCTTACCCCCTCTCTTGCTCCCATACCTTGAACAGTTCCGCCGTATTATATTATGGCTAGGCGATGACCTTCGGTCTTGGGAAGCTGCCAAGTTGTTTGCCCGAAAACTGAACCCAAAACGATGCTTCTTGGTGCGCCCTGGAGAACAACAGCCCCGTCCCCTGGAGGCCCTGACCCGAGGCCTAAATCTCACTCGTATTCTGCGTACTGCCCTGCCTGCCTGGCACAAGTCAATTGTGTCTTTCCGGCAGCTTCGGGAGGAGGTGCTAGGAGAACTCTCAAATGTGGAGCAAGCAGCTGGCATTCGCTGGAGCCGCTTCCCAGATCTCAATCGCCTCTTGAAGGGGCATAGGAAAGGCGAGCTGACGGTCTTTACAGGTGATAAAGGGGCAGAAAGTGGGGAAAAAGAATGTGGGTTTGGGCCCCTGAAAATGGCCTCAACTGTGAAGCCCTGATCAGTGTCTAGGTTCAAGGGTTGGACTCTCCTCCTCACCTAGGCCTGTATTCATCTCCTTGCAGGGCCAACAGGCAGTGGGAAGACCACGTTTATCAGCGAGTATGCCCTGGATTTATGTACCCAGGGGGTGAACACACTGTGGGGTAGCTTTGAGATCAGCAATGTGAGACTAGCCCGGGTCATGCTGACCCAGTTTGCTGTGGGGAGGCTGGAAGAGCAACTGGACAAATATGATGAGTGGGCTGACCGCTTTGAGGACCTCCCCCTCTATTTCATGACTTTCCACGGGCAGCAGAGCATCAGGTGAGATCCTTTTATTTATTTATTTAGGTACCAGAAATAGACCTTGTGCTTGTTAGGCAGGTGCTATGCCACTGAGCTATATCCCTGGCCCTGGGTGAGATCTTCAGAGGCCATCCACTTTCCTTCTCCAGACAAATCCCAGCACTTTTCACATTTGGTGCCCTTTCTAGCTCCAGTGGGAACTCCTTCTAGGTCTCCTTAGGCGAGTTTTTAAGATGTTAACTCTTAGGCTTGCAGTGTCTAGAGACTGCTTGTAGTTGACCTGACTTCATTGCTTCTTCTTGCTAGGTCTGTAATAGACACAATGCAACATGCAGTCTATGTCTATGATGTTTGTCATGTGGTCATTGACAACTTGCAGTTCATGATGGGTCACGAGCAGCTGTCCACAGACAGGTGACATCCTCTTGTTTAATTGGAACATATGTATCTTTTCAGACAGCATCTAAGTATGTATATTGTACTTGCTTATTTTCTGAAAGGTGGGAGTATGGCCACAGAAAGTATGGACAGGGGCCACTGAGAGTGAGTCCTGAGCTGGTGGGAGGTGTAGAGTAATTAGGGTGGTTTGTGGGGAGATGTGAGTGGACCACGAGGATATATATGTTCTTACCCTCCTGTGTCCAGTAACCTGTTCATGTTGTTGGGCTGGGGACAGGATTGCAGCTCAAGACTACATTGTTGGGGCCTTTCGGAAGTTTGCAACAGACAATAATTGCCATGTGACACTGGTTATTCACCCCCGGAAGGAGGACGATGACAAGGAACTGCAGACAGCATCCATTTTTGGCTCAGCTAAAGTAAGTGGGCTTTAAAAGAGCTCAAGCTTTGGAGAGTATAGGACAGCCACCAGTCAGCCTTAGATTTTGAATCCTGGAGGCAGTGCCTCCGGACCCTTACATGGGGAATGCGCGCACTAGGAATACAAAGGCTCTGGTAATAGCTGGTTCTTTGCCTTCCAGAAGCTCGCATTCTCTAGTGAGGAAAACCAACTGCAGCTCACTGTGATGAGGGCTGTGATAGGCAGCACAGGAATTTAGGCAGCATAGAGAAAAAAGGCTGAGTCAGCCTGGGACCTCTGGAGACTTTCCAGAGAAGGTGTCAACATCAGGTGGGCTGAGAGGTTTGCAGTAAACGGGCGGCCTTCTGGGCAGCAGGGTCCCCCAGCCCTGGAGCCTGCAGCAGTACACTGGGTGCTGTGATTTCCCGGCAGGCGCCAAGCACAGGGAACTCGGGCGAGGAACACAAATTCTGTGCCACAGTAGAGATAAGAAAGAAAGTAACTCAGAAGTACAAAAGTCGCAGTGCTTCCTTTAGGACATCAAGAATGGGCTCTGAGGAAGTGTGACATTCAGACTGAAGCCTGAAGGCTAGATGAGACTGGGCTGAGGAGGGCGGCCTGCTGTGGAGGAGAGGTGTCGAAAGCAGAGAGAGCAGCATGGGCGAAGTCCGAGGCAGGGACACTAGTCCATGTCAGGGAACTGGGAGACTCAAGTGGCCCCACATGGTGTCCAGTGTCCAAAGAGCTTTGCTCTTCCCTTTCCCCAGTCTTACCCACTCCTTCCTGACCATCAGCCTTGCGTTCTGCTTTGCTCATATCTTTTTATTCCTGCCCTCCTCCTGTGCCCCTCATCTCCTAGGCAAGCCAAGAAGCGGACAACGTCCTGATCCTGCAGGACAGAAAGCTGGTAACTGGGCCAGGGAAACGGTATCTGCAGGTGTCCAAGAACCGCTTTGATGGAGACGTAGGTGTTTTCCCACTTGAGTTCAATAAGAGCTCCCTCACCTTCTCCATCCCACCAAAGAGTAAGGCCCGGCTTAAGAAGATCAAGGACGACAATGGACTAGTGGTCAAAAAGCCCTCTTCTGGCAAAAAGGGGGCTGTGCCCCGGAACTCTGAGACCTGCTCAGGCTGTGACCCCATCCCCTACCAGCCAGACAGCTCTAAGCCTACAGGCTGACCACTGAAATGTGCTTCGTGGCACAGGCTGGAACATGGACTCTTTCTTGGCCCTCTGCTAGGGCGTCTCTGTGCTGTAATTCTATACTGTGGCTCCTTCTCAGCCTAGGGCAGAGCTCCATAGGAAAATCAGCTTAGCTGCTATTTGAGGACTTTACGATGTGACAGGCTTTGTTCAAGGTCCTGTAAATGCAGCACTGAAAAGATACATAAGGTCTCTGTCTTCACAGAACCTGCATTGTGGTAGGAGAGACGCGGTGAACAGACAGAAAACAGTGAAGAAGCTATAAGGAAAATAGAAAGGTGACAGTGCTCACAGGCTACCTTAAATCTAAAAAGATGTCTGAGAGGGGATGTCAGCCGGGGCCTCAGGAACGGGAAAGGCAAGGTCATGGGGGTGTCTCAAGAAGAGGATTTGGGCAGAGAGGCCCATGGCCCTGAGCTGGGGATAAACATGCAGGTTCAAGGCAGTGAGCTTCGGCACCCTAACGCTGGAGTGGAACGGGTAACTTCTGGCTCTGACTCCAGCTGTTAGGCTTTTGGAGCCAAAGGGTGACATGGTATCAAGCACCTCTGCTGCCCACTCTAGAGCCAGGCGTGAGGTGGCACCTGCTAGAATTGGACCCTGAGCACTTGTGACATCAGGCCTCAGGTGGGAGCGTCCTGCCACGCCACAGAGAAGGCTGGAGTTCTGCCCCAACACTGGCTCCATTGTGTGCTGTCTCAGGGAGCTAGAGGTAGGATTTTTGTAGAGATTTTGCCGTTTTCACGAAAAATAATTTTTCCACTGCCTTTGTTTCTGTGGTTTTTATTTGTCCACTAGGTGTCTCCCCAGTCTAACTGGACTTTCCTCTTGAATCGGGATGGTCTTTGAGCTGTGGGCACATGAGGAAGCCAGAACCTTGAAAGGCCTTCACTTCCCGCCTCCCCCTTGCACTTGTTGGCCTGGGGGAGACAGGGTGGTGGTGTGCTCAGCTCCCCCGTGAGGTTCCTGGCAGAGGTAGGGGTCACTGGGCCACATGCCCATGCCCTGCCTGACCAGCTGTCCTCTTCCCTGTGCTGAGCCACTGCCCGGTGCAGATCAGGACTCTGTGTTATCGCCCCTCCTCAGACATCTCCCCCCTGCTGTGCCCCCTTCCACGTTTCCCTTCCCTGCCACCCCCCATCCTGCATACACATTTCTAATTCTGGAGTCTGAGGGGGTACGGGGATTTTTTTTAAGCCTGCAGGAGATTATGGCATAGGTCCACAGACCCTTTCCCAAATACGTTGGCATGATGACACTCATCTCACCTCCTTTGGTGTTTTAAAGTCCCGGTTTGCCTTGGGATTGCCTGAAAAAATGGTGAGCAGCCATGATGTTCTGAAGTTTTGGGGGAAAGCCTTTGTAGCAGCCGGGGGAGGTCTTCTGTTTTCTGGAAAAGATCCTTCCTTTCAGGGTCTTGCGGTCAACCCAAGAGGGACTTCAGGGTCCCTATTGAGAGGGTCTATGAGAGGCGTGGCTACAGCTATCTCCCGAACAGACCCTGGAGCAAAGCTGCTGCAGAGCTGTGCTCGGCAGGGGGGTAGCCCCTCGGGGCCTGCGTTCTTGGGGGTCTCCTAGACTGGCTGGAGCCAGGCTTCCATAATCCTACAGTAATCATTCCCAGCCGTCACTGGTCTAGGCCTCATCCAGGGCTTGTACCGCTGAATGTCAGCTGGGCTTTCCAGATGTACAGTGCCCACTCCGTCCTACCCATCAGGACCTGGAGCCCACACTCTAGCCTTCCCACAATGTCTGACATGTTCTCACAGTCCTGTAGGGGTTCCCGACAGGGCTGCCTTCAAGGGCCCTGTCATTCCGGGCTGGAGAGATCCTGTTTGTGTTGCCCCGCCCTCCAAGCACACCCCCACAGAGCACAGACCGGAAAGATGAGGGAGACGGTGTGTGTACGCCGGACTCCTCGGCCGGAGGGCTGCTCAGACCCTGATTAAATCCCCGGGACTTGGCTGTGTGCTCAGCCGAAGCGGCCGAGGCAGGTTACCTGGGACAGGACTGGTAACCGGCGCGTGCACCTGGTTAGGAACTCCAGCGAGCTCTGGAAGGCCCGGCCAAGAAGGGTGCGGTTGGGTGTGCTGCCCTCCCAGATGGAGTGTGGACACGCCTGGTGGTCAGGAGCTTCGCCACTGTGGACGACTAGAGGGGAGTTAAGCCCCAGGAGTCTGCAGCCCTGCCTTCCCACCTACGGCCTTGAGGCGGGGAGGGAAGGGCCCTGGCAGGCCGACTTCCTGTTTGTGCCTGTGGGTGGGACTTCAGGAGTCTAGCCTTACTCTGTGGGGGCCAGGACGGGCAGCAGCTCCCCTGGTGGAAGTCTGCTCCATGTCCTCAGGGAGCCCAAGCCCACCCGTGTACTTGGGTGAGGGTGTTTTGGTGAAACCCAGGCTTCCCTGTCCGCTTCTCAGGGGCTTTCCCTGAGTGTGGGGAGAAGCCCCGTTGGGCGCCCTACGGAGCAGGGCAGGGTGTCTGGGTCGGGTCCTGCAGCCCTATGGCAGCCAGGTAGCTTAGCTCGAGGTCACGTGACACCCGTTTCTTCCCCGGAGTCGTTCTACCCAGTCGCTAAGCTGTGAAGTCACGGGCCCGCGGGGCAGCCTCGGGTCGCGGTCGAGTTACTATTGGGCTGGGTCCTGGGTCGGGGGGTGGGGGTGCTGGGCAGACCACTCCCCTCCCGGGG